GACTCATTTTGGATATAGTCAGGTTCGAGGTCAGGTTACTCCTATACGTTTGCATCATTTAAAATATGTCTTTTGACATTGACAGATGGGACGAATATGCCGAAGTCCAAGTCTCGTCAAATATTTATTCATCATAATTTTACAGTTTTTTGTATATGGCGTGAAATAGTTTCTGCAAAGTAGTTACTTGACATATTCTGCACAGACGATTGATCATCACCACTGTCATTATTTTGTTGACTATCTGAATCAGAGGATGATGTCTTTGTCTCGTAGTCTTTGTCGAGGTTGTCATCGGTTTCAAAGAGATCCAATTCATGTTCAGTATCTAAGTACCATAAATCTCGCCATAAATGCATATGAATTATCACTAACCTGCCCAAAAACTCTATGAAAATGAAGAAAAACAGATATAATACCCGAGATCCAGACTTTTTGGATTACAGAGGCGAGCTATTCGAATCATGGCGGGTCTGAGTTTCAGGGGGGACTGCAGACAAGCATTTAAACATTTTAATATACTCACCTTACCATCTCATTACATACTAGAAAATCTGATGTATGTGAAGGACAATGAGGATAAATTCAAAGTGCATAGTGGGGTCCACAACTATGATACAAGACAAAAAAACTTGCTCATCCCAGCTTATCATAGGTTGAAAAGGTGTCAAGATGGCCCAGGCTATCTATCCATAAAATTTTTCAATACTCTACCAGATTCCATAAAGAACTTGGAACGAGATAAATTTAAGAATGAAGTTAAGCAGATTTTGTATCTAAATTGCTTTTACTCATATGATGAATTCCTCACACACAAATTTTAATAATTGTTTCTAATATTTTCTAATATTTTCTGTTTATAATCAATTGTTTTAGTCTAAAAATTTAAATTATATATAATTGGATTGTAGCTCCACTATATTGTGCCAAAAGTCAAACTTGCATTGTGCTCATAATTTTGACAAATATTGAAGATTTTAATTCCCTGTTTTTACAAATGTATGCTAACCTGATTACTATAGTTTCCTACTGTTTTGACGAGTGTAAATACCTATGTATAATGACATGAAATATATTGAGCATTGAGTATTGAGATAATACCATCAATACAATGCAACACGTGTGAAAATAAATGGGAAAATGACCCCACAAGGCTACTCCTTCTGGCCAATTCTGTTTTATTTCGATGCTTTCGCACGAAGAATACCACTAGAGCAAAAATACGTTGAAATTGGGACAGTTTTCGAGATAATCACATTCCAGGAATCAGTTACAATGGGCATGTTTCTCAGTGAAAAATTCCATTTCATTATTTCGAAGTACACCTATATACTAACCAAGATACTAACCCTAACTTGATCACTGTAGTAAACCGTTCAAGTTCTGTATTTTTTACTCAATGGGCTTATATCACAAAAAATTTTTATTTCGTAGTTCAATAGAACTCACCCAAACTAGCTCACCACCGCAAACCGTTTCTTGCTGTAAGTTCTCTACGTTTTATGAAAAATTATTGAAATCCCCGATTTTTCGGACCTCTGAAAACGAGGCGATGATGTGACGTCAAAACCCTAATACTGAAACAAGACTATTCCAGACAGAGATGAATGATACATGATTTCTGACAAAGCGCCAAGATTGGTGAATCGGCAAGTTGGTTTTTGGGACAAAGATAATAAGAACAAGAAGAAGATCAATTCTAACCTATATTAACTTTCTGCAGCTCCATGTAAAACGGGTCAACAAAGCAATGTTGCTGCGTTCATGAAATATATTGGATTATTGTGAAATTGTGATGGTGCAAATGGTTTTGAGATTTCGTTGTCTAGAGATTGTTTATATTCCAATGATTCAACCTACAATCGACAACTTGAATATATTTTTCTGCAGTAGCGGTAGTGGATATCAAAAGATATTTCAATATCGATTTCGATCTCTCGGATATTTTGTCTGGATGATATGGCAACAGTGATAAGTGTCAGTTTCAACTATGGCGAGATGAGGTTTCTACGTCATAAGAGGGTCCGTTTTCAGAAGGTACTATTATTTATGTCCAAAAATAAAACATTCCAGTTAATTTTTCGATCGAATTATGTCGTCAATCATTATTTATGTATAAAAGGATCATTATAAACATGGTTTGATTTAATGATTCTACTAAGGTGTACACGCCCATTATTGAAATTCACGGTATTTCTTAACATGAAAATCGCAGGAAATCGCGTGACGTATCCTATGTAAATATGTGTGTATGTGTAAAACTATTTATGTTGTATTACTTGTTTATTAGTTCAGGTATCACCCAAAATATATGGGTTCATTTTAGGCGCCAGCCGATAATTTTGCCCTCCGGCGCTGCTATTTCTAGCTATGCCACTGAATCACATAATCTGAGGATTTAATTTGAATCTCGATTTGAATATTCGCAAGTAGGTATTCGCTAGACTTGACTAGATGTTAGGATTTGAAAATTTACGTTATAAAGTTAGGTTAGACTTCTCCTTCATTTCTTGAGATTTCTGTGAACTTTAATAAGCATTACGCTGTTGCCAGGGTGACAAAATAGTTTGTGCTTAAATTAAATCTCGAGCATTATTAGGAATATCAGGATATTCCTCGGGATATTCTTATCACATTATGTGAGAACAATATTTTCAAACCGATTTCACTCGAATATGATTCATCTGATATTTGCGAAACACAAGAACCTTCCTGTAAAGAAGTGTATATTTCTCGGTATATTCTCATAATCCTTGATTGAATTGTCGAAAATTATGCACATACCAAGAAGTTTAAATAATATTTAATGTAGTCCCACTTCTACGAAGCCCTGGAAGGGACACATAAAATAAAAAAAATAAAAACTCTTCAAAATTCTGAGTTATAACTCGGAATTTTAAAATTCCGTGTTATAACTCGGAATATTGGATGTAAAATTCCGAGTTATAACTCAGAATATTGGATGTAAAATTCCGAGATATAACACGGAATTTTAAAATTCCGAGATATAAGTCGGAATTTTAAAATTCCGTGTTATAACTCGGAATATTGGATGTAAAATTCCGACTTATATCTCGGAATTTTAAAATTCCGAGTTATTACTCGGAATTTTACTTCAAAATTCCGACTTATAACTCGGAATTTTACATCAAAATTCCGACTTATATCTCGGAATTTGTATATTTGTATTTTTGTCTGGAAAACACGAATTTCATTATGAAAATGTAAACAATCCACTATTTATCGAGATATTCCAAAAAAAAGTTCGAAATTTCGCTCTTTTTTTCCTTCTGTTGGATGCATTTACAGGTAAAATGCTCTTTTTATTTTGTCATTGGAGACTTTATACAGGGTAACTCACGGTCGATGGTACGTTAGACGTTTATGGAGAACGGGACATAGGATCATTCTGAAATTTTGGTTACTCACGTAGTTGCTCTTGGTCTATCGTTCTAAAATATTTTCAGCTCTGCGGCGTTGCCGCTTCTATCGAAAAGTAGCAACAACTTTGTTATTTTGAATGGAACACCCTATATTTTATTGCATTTTCAGATTTATAGAGATATAGGGTGTGAAATATCGTCATTTTTCAACTTTAGGAATTTTTTTTGTAGAAACTATTCATTATTGGTCAAAACGGCTTACATGTCCCTATCTCAACTTTTGATTAACTATCTACTGATATTTAATTGGGACATATAACGGGTGATTAAGATTCTGAATTCTGCACGACCCTGTATTTGTTTCAATTAAATGTCAGTAGATAGTTGATCAAAAGTTGAGATAGGGACATGTGAGCCGTTTTGACCAATAATAAATAGTTTCGACAAAAAAAAATCATAAAGTTGAAAAATGTCGATTTTTCACAACCTATATCTCTGTAATCATTTCCGCTAGACCCCAAGTGTGATACATCGATGAAATCAGCTCTCCAGAGAGGATCTGAAAATGCAATAAAATACAGGGTGTTCCATTCAAAAAAACAAAGTTGTTGCTACTTTTCAATAGAAGCGGCAACGCCGCAGAGCTGAAAATATTTTAGATCGATAGACCAAGAGCAACTACGTCACTACGTGAGTAACCAAAATTTCAGAATGATCCTATGTCCCGTTCTCCATAAACGTCTAACGTACCATCGACCGTGAGTTACCCTGTATACTCATGATGTACTTCAATGACATATTTTTATATAGAAAATTCAACAGGAAATATGATTTTTATGGCGAGTTTTTCATATATTAGGCCTGTTCGTTTATATTGCTAAACTTGCTAAGGTTGATTTTTTTCCCATAGTTATCTCTGTTCATAGCATGATGTAAACAGAGAAAGTCATAGAAAAAAATCAAGTTTGGCAGGTAGAGCAAGCACAAACGAACAGGCCTTTAGTGAACAAGCATGATGACGGCCATTTAATCAATAGTCTGGAATAGTCAATCCAAATACGAGATGTCAAATGTCAACCGATTGCATTTGAATGACATTAAACGCCATTATTTTGAATGATATTATTCCTTCTTTTCACTGAATATGGATAAATCACAAGAAAATCATGTTTCTAGTTGACTCATATAATAGAGAGAAATGTGTCGTACATTGTGATATATGTAAAAATTGTCCAATGATGAAAAAAGAAGGGCAGATTGTTCTAAATGCGATCCAGAAGACAGGCGAAAAAGAAGGTGAAGGTAAGTTTATAGTGAAATATCTTAATAAATAATGGTTTGTTCACATTTTCGTTATCGAATTTGTATTTTTCAGACAAAAATACGTAAGTACCAAAACAAATTTTCGAAAAAAAACCCATCGCATGATAAATACAGTTTTACCCTATTTTTGATCGTAGAAGCCGCTGCTGAAGTTTGGCAGGATAATACGGGACACCCTGTATAAAATCCCATGGGAAATCCGATGCGAGTGATGCGACACATGTGTGTCGTTCGAATTTCGATCGAGAGCCTGGAATGTCTTGTCTTTTTCCGCCGACAGATGTTCCGTCAAAGATGGCCGCCGCTATGTGCTGCAAGCAAGCAGTCGCGATCATTTTTTGTTTTCTTTTGTTTTCGGTCGAGGCGCCACTGCGTTGGTGGCGCAGCCTACTTGGCCGGTGTGGTCACAGCACAGATCACAGGTACCTTTAGGCATGCATCATATTAACCGGCGGTATATACGAGGGTCACCCGACGAGTCTCTTACTGTGGTTTAACCAAAGTTTACAGAATTTTTAATTCTGTAAACTTTGGCACAGAATACCGAAACTAACCTTCCCTCAGATGGCTTGACTTTTGGGATTTACCGTGCAGAGCCGCACTATACCTGATTTTGCATTAATACTATATTTTAACAGTATATACAGTCTGTCCAAGATGAGGTTGCACAGCATGGGGATCAAGAAAACGGTAGGAGATACAAAGTCGGTTGAATGGGGAAAAAGTTGTACATTCGGAGGCTCATATCAACAGCCTTTAAACATTTTTCAATATTGTTTTTAGTTTTTCAGTTATATCGAAGAAAGTGAATTTTTGAAATATCTATTTTATTTTTTTCTCCGTTATTATTTGAGATACAAAAAAATTGAAAATACTCTTTCCGAGAATTTTTCATAGTTTTTAACGCGGTGACATCGATTTTTTTATGCGGCGTTTCGTATTCGTAGAACCATCATCAACTTTTGTTTTTCAAATACGGTCCTGATAATTTTTTCACAGCTTCTGAAAGCTTTCTGAGAAAAAATTACTACTACTTTGTAAAAATTCACGAAGTTTGGGTTCACATTTTCATTTTCCAAAATTTTTGTGTGAATAAAAACGGTGCGTTATATTTTCGACTTTCAGTGGTGAATTCATGAACGACACGAGGTCCTAACTCAAGAAAAATCTGTAATAATAGTTTATTTACTCAATTTTGGTACGTAAAACAGAACCAAGTTCGGATTTTCAAATAATTCTCACACACCGCAGCATGGTCAGTCCATGATGAAAGCACAATACACTCACTCAATAACCTAATATAATATCAATACCTACATAATAAACGAGATAATAAACTACTAATGTTCTTATAAATTATCATCCATAAGAATTTATTATATTTCTATTTGAAATTTGAACAAAATCATAAATATGTTGACAATGTGACACTCGTGACAGATAGGTCGAATCACGATCAACGATCAAGATCACGATCAAGATGTTTCCGCACGGATTATTTGTTGCGCCGTGTCTGATTTGCGTCCTGTCTGATTTGCGTCCTTTTTTTATCGCTTGTAGCGCACGAAAGGGAATCCCTATAATGTTCAAAGAACATCGTGCGTTCCTAGGGAGGATAGGGATACGAGGTAGGTATTGGAATTTTATTTGATCTTCTGGAGATTATATGTTGTTGGGAATACTTCCACAGGCAATGAATTCCAGAACATAGCCGTTCTATGGATGAAGGAGTCTTGATAAAGTGCTGTTCGACATCTTTCGAGGTTGACAACGAAAGGATGTGCTGACTGGGCATGTCTAGTTCGTCTGATTGATACTGCTAGTAAAGGGATGATAACAGAGATTTCCGAAGAACATTTCCCGTGGAAGTATCGATAAAAAAGTGAAAGGTCGCCGACCTTTCTACGGTGTTCCAATGATGTCAAAGAGTGAGTGAGTGTGGCGTCACCCACCAGACGGATTGCTCTTCTCTGGATGGAATCTAAGAGCATCAGCGTATGTTTTGGTGCTGAACCCCATATGTGGGAACAGTATTCTCTAGTCCTGTCTCTAGATGCTAATATTCAACTATTATTGAATTCGTGCATCATCAACGAAACTCTTCGGGTTACGAAGGAAGGAAAACACATCCTTGAAAGTCTAGTTCGACTTCATAATAAGATTCGAAACGCATTTCGAAATTTTCCATGAATCTTTCACGTCATCTATCATCGGGTATGAGAACCATACATTCCGAACTCCCATTCAATTGTTCATATCGAGAGTTAGTCTGACGAAACAATTGAAAAGTGGGCACACCAGAGGAATCAGAAACATCTCAGTCATGATCATGACAGAATAATTAGAACAAGTCCTATTGATAAATACTAGAATACTACTAGATTCAAGTGCCATACTTGAGAATCTGGCATCAGATATGTCTTTATCTCGGTCTTTATTGACTTGTATTTATAGTGTATAGTTCATAAAATGACAAAAACTACCTTGGTAGTGAAAACATACTTTACGCCTTGGAAAGGAGTAAATAATGGTAGGTTCTATACTCGGTTCTCTAGCTGGTAGTGGAAATAGCTATATTTATAACAAGGGAGGAAAGTGCTACTTTTTCTCCCGAGCATGACTGGTTATTTGTATTGTGCTGAGTGTGTCCATCATGAATTTCTCATATTTTTCAAAGTTAAATCTGCAACTCAACGGGAAAAAAATTAGTATAAAAAAATGTATTCATTTATTAAATCACTAGCAGACCTCGCAAACGCCGTTGTTTCGCTATATACATTATTTCTATAATCTATTTTTTCAGTTCAATATTCATCAAGGCAATATTATCATTTTATTTTCTACTTATTTTTAGTTTCGCTATGTATAAAAGCGTGTTTCTTTAGTTTTTCAAACTATATACCAATTAATTCAACTTCTTTTTAGTTCATTTGAATTTCCCAATTTTGATGGAAGAATCATAACTCGAATCATAATATCCGATCACGAAAACCCCTAGGTACCAATTTTGAAAAGAATCGTATTATGATTACAAAACTCGTCCGCCATATTGGTTCCGCCATCTTGAATTTCCAAATTCTGCTCGAATTTTCAAATTCTGACGAAAGAATCATAACCTCCGACCCCGAAAACCCCTAGGTACCAATTTTGAAAAGAATCGTATTATAATTACAAAACTCGTCCGCCATATTGGTTCCGCCATCTTGAATTTCCAAATTCCGCTCGAATTTTCAAATTCTGACGAAAGAATCATAACCAACTTTGCATAAAATCGGATCATAATTACAAAACTCGTCCGATATATTAGATCCTCCATTTTGAATTGCCTCATTGTACCGGGATGAAAAGTATCCTTCGCCCGGTTCTAAACTACCTCCCAACCAATTTTCAGCCAAATCGATCCAATATGTTTCGGAGCCTATTCAATACATACATACAAACAAACAAACAAATCTTTCCGTTAGTTCTGCCCCACTCTTCAAAATGTGAAGGATCTCGGGTGCCTGTGACGCAAGTCAATTTGTCATTGAACGTTTTCGATAGATCGGAGATTGAGTAGATTTGGTGCGACCCTGGTAGGATTCCGGACAGGTCGACACGATTTGCCTGCCACCCATCAACCATCGCATTCGGCCCATTTGGCGGTTATTCAGTCTATACAGGATACAAGGTGGCCCAACGAAAACGAAACAGAATGGATTACTCCCAGGAGAATGTTCGTTCATTTTGAATCCTTCGGGGGCACATTTTCATCATATCCCCAACTGCCACAATTCGTTCTTCTCTCATCCACTTCGCTGACCAATAAAATTTGTATTGACTCTGCCTTTTCTCTATCGAGATGTCAGAGTATATTTTCCGTTCTCGTAAACCGTAAGAGATACAGAGTCGGCTAAAGTAATAAAAATAGAATAGAATAGAAGTGGTTCGAATTCCACTATAAGCTGTAGGTCCCGCTCTTCCTAACCCCGCACAAGTTTCGACTTCTGGGGAGTTGGTTCCCAACTTTGAAGTAGCGATTTACAAAAAAAAAAAAAAATATCCTCTGTCTTTCTCTAACACTTGGGTTTTCATGGAAAATGCCATTGATATAATTTTTCCGAATAAGTGCGATGCACCTTTGGTTTTGGAAGGGCAAAAGCTCTTAAAATCCTTAATGGACCGTATTTAAAAAAAAAACAAAGCTGATGATGGCATCTCAATGACGAAACGTCGGTTTGAAATTCTGATAACATCATACCGTAGAACAGAAAAAGTAGCAATGCGAATGTGTAATTTATTTTGTTACAAGTATTCAAATAGAGTCATAAAAAAATAAAAAGTGAATCGCGAATATCCGGGTTCTTCCAATTATCTTTGGAAGTATTAGGAGTTTTTTAATTTCAAAACAGAATTTTGTAAGGCATAAAATTGCGCAATCTGATGGAAAAGTGTGCCTCATGAATGAAATGGCATACATATTTCAGCATTTTCTAAAATAAACATACATTCTACCTGAAGCTGATGTTGAGTCTGTTTCGTCTCCGTTGGGCCACCTCGTACGTATTATTATCTATCATTATCTTCGAGAGTTTCGAGACCATTTTCAGAGCTCTGGGATCCTGATAAAACCGCCTTTGCGTGCCAGACACAGAATGGAATCCAAAGGAATTCGTCCTCTCATGTGTCTGAGAGACTTCAAGAGAGTCGACAGTTTTGTAGAAATAATTAGCGGCCTCACAGGGCCGGATTTATGCGGATGTACTAAGCTCTAATATTATTGCTGCACCGGCTGTGAAGTAGCACTTTACAGCCCGGCTTTGCGGCCGTGAAGTGTCACTTTAGCGCCTGCATACTACTATATCGTCTGACGGGCAATCATGTTGTTGAACCTCATATCAATGGAAATCTATACCAAGTGACACAGAGTATCAGGCTAGCCCTATAACTTCTGCAGTCTTGAACGGATTTTTTTGAAATTTGGTATATCTTTCAAATTTTAATGCAATAATGTCCTTTTTCATACAATTTTTTCGTTTTCATGATGTTATAGCCACTTCCACATCGACTTTATTAGTACTATGACTGATGATAACCATTTGAATGGTCGAAACATGTCTGAATTGAAACTAATGAAGCAGAATTACCTGCACATTCCGTCAGTAAACTTGTGGGGACGACTTTGTGTTTTTTTCTCGTTGATCATCCTCCTCCATTTCGAGTATGGACTACTTCAAAAATGTAGTTCATTTCATCTTATTTTCATTTTTAAAAATTTCAAACAGTTAGTTTGCTCACCTTGTCAATTATTTCTCACACGCTGTGGTCACTATGTCACTTGTCTACTTCATACTCATGTCAACTCAGTCATTGACATTGACACTCAGTCTATGTCAACAATATTATTATGATTATAAAAATGTCAAATATTCGTCAGATTAAT